CGAAAGAAAGATGTATGTATGTATGTGGTCCCAGCTGTTGCAAGAATTCTGCCACATCGGCTCGAAAGGCCCTGTTGTGGCGAGCATCTCTAATGTGATAAGACACTTGCAGTTCATTTAACTTTTCGGCAAGTGGAGATCCACTCACTCCGTATGGAGCTGGAGGAGGCTACGGCTAACAGGCAAGGCAAGAGAAGTTTGACTGCCTGAAGGCCTTTGAGGCTGAAACTGCAGAATTTCAGCATCGGCTGGCTCAAAGACATCCGGCACAGCATGATCTTGCTCACGCATATACACAGACTCCACCTGCTTTTTCATGGAGAATCTCCAAGAGATCACGGCCAGCATCGATTGGTGCGTTTCATGGCTGTAAACTGTGGAGGCGAAAAATATTTCTCGCCATCTCTTGCTGGCGAAGAGAGTGTCTATCTTTCAAAACTACAATTGCCTGACACACATAAATAGATAAAGGAGAGAGACTGAGAGGTATATATATATATATATATGTATCTACGCATATGTATATGTGTATGCAAATATATGTGCACCCACGCATGTATTGCAATGTCCAGGCAAGTGGATCTCCGAGGCGGCTCTCTGGATGCTGTGGTCCCACAATGGCCACGCCAATACTGGGCTCGAGGAGCCACCCGGCCCACAACCATGTCCGACTTGAATCTTCCGAACGTATTGCTGTCTGTGTTGGAATAGAAAATCACATGCTGGCCTTTTGCCGCGAAGTCGCGGATGTGTTTCGTTTGGGAGTCTCCGAGACAGACGTGCCCTGTGCTTTCAGCCCAAGGTGTGACGTTGTCGGTTTGGATGCTGGCAAGTTCCAGGAGCTGACGCTGTTGGAGAGAAGCCGCTTTTGCTCATGGCCATAGGTTCAGCCCGACCCAAATCCCAGCGCCGCAGCGCCACTGTCGGTGCATACATCCGAAGGAGATCTTCAAGGATGACAGTACCGTGAAGAGCTATGCCGCGGCTCTGGCAGCATGCGCCACCCCCTTCCCAACAGAAAGCTTCACTTAAATGAGGGTTTCCGCGTGTCGGCAGCCTATCACATTTGCATTCTAGTACGTCCTCCGCGTGAAGATTTTTGGGGTCTACATGATGCTTTTGCAGATGCCTCCGACCGGAGTAGTTGCTGAGATGGCATTCTGGGCACACTTCATGGAGTACCCGGGCACTCTCACGGATGCCTGGGCAGATGAGGCTGATGGATGGAGTTGGGGGTTGATGTCGGGTGTTTGCTGGCATGCCTTGGACAGGAGTTGCTTTTCGACTGGGCCATGGGTGCACTGGTCAGTGCGGAAAGGACGCTCAGCCCAGATCTTGTAAGATTTCCCAGCTAGGGTTCACTTTCCGAGGGCGTTTCCAGGCTGCTTTAAACATGCAGGCAGCGCAGCGGACTGCTGTAAGACTTGCAAGCGGAGATGAGGGGTAGATCTGCGAATTCGCAAAACATGCTGCAGGCAACTTGAGAGGACGCTCGACGTTTCAAGAGCACCCGTCTGTCAGGTATGTTGGCGGTGTGATCAACCCGGACCATCGCAACGCTGCATTCACCAAGCACATAATCAACAAGCGCCGCTCTAGCAACTCGAACTGAGTTCAGCTCACTGGGTTTAGAGCTGGAGGTGGCCTCAGGCCTACAAGGATCGGTGACTGTGTTCATCATAACACCGTACCTTTCGGGCTAGCACGCTGAAGGAGTGGATGCGACAAACTGTTACTGACTTGCCATTCACGGGAAGACATGTCAACCCAGGCAGCGCAATGCTGGACGAGATGGACTTAGGCCAGAGGAACTGACCGTTTCACTGTGTCCGATTTCCGAGACCAGAAAAACACATGTTTCGTCGCTTTCGCCAGGCAAGGTCTTCCCTAAAAGTGGAAGCTCCATCGCAGACACGCCGGAGTAGCTCGTTTTCTGCAAGGCCAGCACACTCGATGGTTTCAGTCCGGGAGTTGAAGGCACCTTCCCCCGCTGTGCCTGAATGCAGGACTCGCATCCTGGGTGATTCCCACTCTGGCCGGAGGCTAGAATGGTTGCACTCAGGCCTGTCTGATGAGAGCCATGACGTTAGACTCCGTTAGACGTTTGATCAGCTCGTATACACGTAGAATCAGTGAAGTTTGAAGAAGCATGCTTTTTGGGCTCCGGGCGACGCTAAGTGTCAGCCATTGGGGCCGGAATTCTGCACCTGGCACCAGCTTCCAGTTTACCAGCTCCGCCTGTGTTCCCCGGCCGAAGAGATCGCATCGCGTGGCACTCACTTGGGTGCGCACTTTCTCAGCATCGTGGTTCTGCTCCGTTTGCGGCTTTTCTGTGTCATGGGCGCTGGTGAGACAAACTCTCGCTGAGCTGTCTGTTGCCTTTGTAGCTCTTTGCTGTCAGGGTTTTGCACACGGGGATCCAAAACGAAGTCGACGAAGCCACGTCTTTGCAGAAGGGCCAGCAAAGTGTATTGGTTTTGGCTTCCTGTGCTGCTTCAGTGCACAGGCAGGTTCGGCAAAAGCCTGTCCTGCTCGGTGCTTCCGAGCTTGGCAGGAAACTTGTTCAACCCCTGAAATGCAGGGCTTAGTCTGTCCATTGGTCGTAGGGCATTAGGGTGCGACTCTCCAAAACGCTCAGAGCCCACTTGCAGACTGTAGACACATTCTTCTCGCGGGACTTCCGAGATGTCCTTTTGCTGCCGAGCGGTGCTGACGGTGTATGATCCGGGACTGTGCAGTCCACGGATCTTGACGGCCTCTCAGGCCCTTTCAAGTTGAGTGCGACTGACATGAGTCCACCATACCCTCCCGCAGAGCCAAAGAGAGACGGCAGACGGCCGCTCGGCCGTCTGTTCCTCAGCGCTGAAGCGGCAGACACGTCCGAAAAGCGTCTAGTAAAAAGCCTATCGAAGCCACAAGTGAGACTCCACTTTTGTGTGCCCAGTTTGTGGTGAGCCATCTGGTGACGTGTGAAGGACATCCCAAAACTAGTTCATACGACTGAGCCCATGCTTTTGGTTTCTGGCAAGACCAGCCCCCATACCCTCAGGTAGCTCGACCGCAGGACACGGAAGCGCTCGAAAGGCTCAACGGCCTAGGGCCTAGGGAACCACAGCTTCCGCCAAGGACTTCTCCAGAAGCTGCAGCTGCAAGCGACGAGGTTTGACAAGGCCACTGCAAGTGTGAGTTGGGCAGATTTCAAGAATCAAGCCGGGGATATAATGGAAGAAAAGAGCAGCGCTGCGTCAAATCATAAAGCCGGCAATGTAGCGATGTAGTAGTAGGCAGGCAGGCAGGCAGGCAGGCAGGCAGGCAGGCAGGCAGGCAGGCAGGGAGGGAGGGAGGGAGGGAGGGAGGGAGGCAGGGACGGGCAAGTAGTGTAGCAGCGTTTTCGTAGTCGTAGTCGTAGCAGGAGTAGGAAAAGGAGGAGGAAACGGAGGAGGAGCAGGAGCAGGAGCAGGAGGAGGAACGGGAGTGGGAGAGTGGTAGAACTAGTAGACCCGGCACGAAAGAAGACATTTCAGGACAATCAGCACAGAATCGGTACTGGTCACCATCCTCAAAGCAACTTCCATGCCAGAATTTGGGCCCTGCCGTGGAGACTGGATCCTCCGAACTGGCAATTGGAAGCACACCCTCTGCCCGGCAGGAGAATCCTGCCCCGAGCCGTGCGTTGTGGTGTTAGTCGATGCTGTGGAAAACATGAAGGTAAGATTGGGCTTTCTAGATGTCGCCTGTTGAGTCGAGTCGTCACAGGATCCACTGAACTTCCCTCCCGGATCACTGCCACAGGAAGCGCGAAGACGACACTCGAAGATATCATGACGAAGCTGTAACTGTAAGAGAAATTTGTGCCTTGGTAGGTTTTCAGCAGTGCAGCCTAGGCACACCTTGCAAGGGTTGGTGCGTGGGCACTTTCTTCTAGGGCGTCGTGCGAGAGTTATATCAGCATATCACCTTATTTGTGTGAAGGGCTTGCAGGGTGTGCCGAGACTTTTCATTGTCTCTAGAGAACCTGTGCGCCATTGGCTACAAGCCCGCGGACCAAAAAGCTTGCTCGGCTCGATCAGGCCTGTGTTGCATCTTATCGAATAGGATGGAGGCAGGTCTAACGGAACTGTGACGGGGCAGATGGTCTAGATCCTTTCGCCCACTGCTTCGGCATGAGTGCTTCCTGTTGCACGGCTTTTGGGGATATGAAGGTGTGAAGGCAGTTTTAGACTTTTGGAAGGCATCAAGGCCTCATGGAGCTGTGCCGGTCGCCAGGATGAGTGGCAGGACGACTGGGACCGCGGCAAGCGCGGGCCCTTCTTCCTGGCCATGGACACACTGCATGCACGGACCTAAGCGAAGGCTCTTGGTGAGTTGCATGACTTTTAGCGGTGCCCTCGGCAATCCGTTTCCTTTCTGAGGCCATGAAGGTGAGCTGCGAGTGGGGAGGGCGCTTCAGCCATGTGTTTCGGCCAAGATATTCTTGGTCCACCATGCAAACGCTGTAAGACTCGACATTACCTTGGAACCTGGCAGCTGAGGATGTGGGCCGGTGTAAGCGGCCCGTGCGTCTGCACCCGAGACAGCCTGGGGAGTTCTAGTCCTGACAAGCCTGCTGTTTTCTACTGTAGCCCAGCGTGTGCCTTGTTTTCTCAAATCCAGAGTCTCGCCGCGTCGAATCGCGAGGCAAAGGCTACGTCTACCCGGAGTTCTTCGGGCAGGCCCGGAATGCCCTGTATGGAGTTGCATCGCGCTTGATGACGCGTCCAGGTTAGTGCCACCAGCCAGTTTCTGCGTCACTGCTCTGCACCGCGGCTGCGGAAGGACGGGATTCACTGCAGGGGGAGTCACACCCAGTTTTCTGAAGTATGCAAGTCAGAGTTTTCTTTGCTGCGTGTTTTCTTTCCTCATACTGCAGGTGCCTCCTTGTGTGAAGACCCCTAACACGGCTGAGAATTTTCGAGGGACCCATGTCCAGTTTCGCTTGTCAGGATGCCTTCTCCTTCAATGCATCTGCGCAGGATGTCCCTGAAGGCCAGCTTCACCAGGCATAGCGAAGTGCAGCCAGAAGATAATGCCACGAAGACAGAGCAAGCAAAGGCGAGAAACGGAGAAAAAAGTTGCAGCAAGTGAGGCTTAAACCCTAAACCCTAAACCCTAAACCCTAAACCCTAAACCCTAAACCCTAAACCCTAAACCCTAAACCCTAAATCCTAAACCCTAAACCGCGATCTTCGACTCCCCTTCGGAGCGGCCCCGAGGTCGGTTACCTTTGGAGTGCCGCTGGCTGTGGCCCAGCGTTGGAATCCTGGCCGCGGCCTCTGGCCACGCGGAAGTTCTTATTCCTAGACGGCTTCTGGCAGTTAGGGTGTATTAGGGGTTACTATTTTCCGGGGTACTACATTTTTTTGAGGGCTGCCATGTTATACAAGGGTTACTAGATTGGAGAAGGCCTGCTAAATTGTATAAGGCTTGCCACAAAAAGGCTTTTTATCGGGGCTCCTCACTCTTGGGGTGGCCTCTTCGGCTTGCGAGAAGTCGCTTCTTCACCGGCTTCGGTTTTTCTGCGCCCGAGGCCTTCCTCGGAGCCTTCGGAGGCCTCTTGGGCCTCGCACTTCTGTCCGCCGTGGGCTTCATCTGCTGCGGGCCGAAGCCCCGGACAGAGGAGTTTAATGCAGATGGAAGTGGCGGTCGCAGGCAGAGCTTCTTCGAGGTTTCGTCGTGGTGTTGTGTTGGCTTCGTGGAGCTCTGCGCTTGAGTCGGTTGACAGGGATGAGGCGGTTTGGGCTTCAGGATTCAGGTGGATTGAGGTTGAACATTGAGGTTGAGAGTCTTGACATAGAGCCCTGACAGAGGTTGTTGACGACTCTTTCGAGTTACGACGTAGGCGTGTCAAGCGCTGCAGGTGCGGGTGCGGGTGCTGCGCCAAGAGCAGGGTCCCGAGTCACAGGAGTAGCCGGACAGAACACGGAGTCATCCAACGTAATCCGTGTCGTGGCGTCGCGAGAAGCTTGAATCCGTTCATTGCAGTCCAGGCTCCTCTAGATCGGCGCGGAGGTCTCGCAACGAAGGACATCCGTCAATTCTTCCCGCTCTCAGCATATCCCCCTTCGTGCCCTAGCATTTCCGGGCCCAGGTTTAGGTTCTCCTGCGGAAGTCACAGGCAAGGCCAACCAACAGGTTTGGCCTTTGCAGAGATCTTGGGAAGGTCGCAGGGAGTCGCCTCCATCTGTGAAGCAAAGGCCTCGCTGGACCCCGAAGCTCAAATCCTTCATCACCAATAGACACGGGAAGCCAGGACCAGCGCCAGAGGAGGCGATGAGGTGCTGGGCCTGGAGTTGATTGCTCGTACGTCCAGAGCATTCGATCACGACGTTTTGCATACATCGCATATCGACCCAGCAGCATCAAGTAGAGTGGAGTGCAGAAGTCGGGGAGGTTGCATGCCGACTCCGCCGGAGGCCTTGCGGAAATGTCTTGCTCTGCACCAAGCCTTCCATTCTTCCCCTGCCCCCCGGCCCACCCCCCCACCAGTAGGCTCGTCACCCCTTAGCAGCTCAAGCCTGAACTTATCCTAGATGCTCGCGACTTTTCTGTGACATGCTTCGTTGCGCTGAACATGGCAGGCAAGCAAGTGGCAGGCGGCTCCTTCAGCAATTATGGTCTTAGGAGTGTGTACGGACTTGAAGAGTTGCCGCTTTCCTTCATTGATTCCGCACCTGGTGTGAATGCAAGACAACGAAGCCTGAGTGTAACGATTCTGGGCTCTCGTCGACTTCTCAACTTCGATTCGCCCTCAGGAGCTGTGCAGATTCAGCCAACAGAGGCCAGCCCTGGTTGGATCCACGGAAACATGCCGACGTGTTGTCCAAGTGCAGAAGAACCGTAGAACGACTGCCGAGTATTTATGCGCATGCTTGGAGGTCAAGTTTAGAGATGAGCGCGTCATCTACAAAATTGAGCGGCTGGGCAGCGAGGTTTGTGATGCCGCAGTCACATCGCAATTACGTGGGCGCTGCGGTCTAGACTTGCCGTGTCATGCTAAAGGAATGGAAATTGCAGAACTCCAAATGACCTGGCTCGTTCGAAGCGCATGCATTCCTCGTGATTGCGCGCTCAGGCTGTGCTCAAGCAGAATACCAACCGACGACGAGGCATCTTCCCACAACTGGAAACATGCTGCTCAACCTCTCCTCCGAAGCCTAGGAGCTGAACGGGCGAATAAGGCTTCAGAGTTTCAGTCTCTGCTTCAGCTGGCGATGTTTTCGTTGCCCTTGTTTGCCATAGAAAAGGCCGCGTGGCGGTTGCGCTGCCACATGGGAGCAGGGCACCTGGAAGGTGTTCACGACGAGTCTCCTTGAGGTTCATGATGTAGATAGAACCTAGAGACATGAATCTTCGTGCAACATCGCACGTAGCAGGCAGAAGGACCCTGATGAGGAAGTCTGCTATTGGCCTCTGTGATTCGCAAGGTACAGCAGAGAATCCTGGAGAAACAGATCCAGGCACGGTCCGACCAAAGGGCCCAGGGCCTGCTGTTCAGGGGAATGGAGGTATGGGACTTGGAAGCATTGAACCCTGCAGCAAACGGACCGATAAAAGACTGGCAAACAGGCACACAGTTTGATGACCTGCGCGTACTGTGCACGGTCTTGCAAGGAGTGCGGAGAGAGCAGTTTCACGCGAGAGCAACTGCCCCTCAACGTCGAAGAAGCGAGCAAGACCGTTGACCGAACTTCTGTGCTCTGTTGCTTGCAATCGGACAAGATGTGCATTCTGACGAGGCTCTTCTATCTGCAAAGCGGACAGTCAACTGATAGCCTTTTGTCTTCTTCCCTGGTCACATGCAAGTGTGGTCGCTGCGTGTGCACCCGCCAACATCTGACAGTTATCCTGATGTGACAGGCAGAGGTTTTAGCACTGCGGGCTTTGAGAACCCGCGCCAAGATGACGCAAAGGAGGCAGGCAGCTGCTACTGAGTCCGCTTTGGGGTACCAGGCGAACCAGACCACTTGCAGGATGTAAACAACAGGCATTTGGCACGTCCGAGTCTGGCAGGGCACGAGAGGAGGACAGCGATGAAGAGACTAGCGAGATCAGCGACATCGAGGACATGTGCCTGCAGTTTTGCGCATGCGGCAGATCGTCGTGAAGTGCTTCTGCTTTTGCCACTACGGAAACGACTGTGGTCCAGGACGGTCCAGACTATGTCACCGCTGGAGGCAGCGTCTCTTGATGAAGTGCAGCTGAGTTCGTGTGTGCAGCACGAAAATCCTGAAGCATGTCATGTCTCGTTGTCCTGAGACATGCTGTAGATGGCACCTTCAATGCTGCGCCGTCTTAGCAAGACCTGAACACGATACTTGCCATGAGGGCCATCTTAGTGTTAGTGAGTGCGACCCTCTTTGCTTGCATTTAGAAAGATCCCATGCCACCATAATCTTGCAGGGGATGAGTTGGAGAATGCGCTGATCATAGCTGCTTGGCGGGAAGCGGCTGCTGAAATCCGGATCATGTGGTGACTTCGCGGCTCGGGAGGAATAGGAATCAGCCGGGGTTCTTCGGGGTTCTAAACCCTAAACCTTAAACCCTAAACCCTAAACCCTAAACCCTAAACCCTAAACCCTAAACCGTCTGCTCTAGACTGTCAGAGAGGTTCACAAGCGCGTCCTGGAGGGTGTCGCCGCCTGGCCGGGAGCCCTGGGAAGTTTGGCACTGCTCACATACCCTGCTACTACCTTGCAGGGGTTTAGGGGTTTTGGGGGCTTTGGAGTTTAGGGGTTTAGGGGTTTAGGGGTTTAGGGGTTTAGGGGTTTAGGGTTTAGGGGTTTAGGGTTTAGGGTTTAGGGTGCCACCCCCAAGAGAGAGAATGAAGAGGAGGGATGTATGTGGTGATAGCCTGCAAGGGGCCTCCGGGCAGGGGAGGTGATGCGAGACGTGACCGCTACCGGCGTTGTCTTTCGCAAGGGCTCTTTGCTTGATGGTCGTGCTGCGACTGGTTCTCTCCGCAGGACACCAGAAATGCCTGCAACCCATGCTGCGTGAACCCCAAGGCAAACTACTCGCCCCCAGCCAGCCGCAGCCAGTGCACGCTCTCACATCAACTAGCAGACCTTTTGAAGTCTGGGCATCCGAGGTGCGGCTACGTCTCCAACGGTGTTTGGCTGGCCAATCTCCAGCGTGGCGAACTGCAGGACACGAAATCGAAGAAACTTAATCAACTGAGCTGAGGGTTTCCGAGACTCAGAGTGTGATAAGTCACTGTAGCTACTTTGGGTCTTGGACAAACCTGCGCTGCCAGCAGATCAGGAGGTTGCCAGCAGCATCGAGAAGAACGACGCTCGCCCCCTGCTGGTGCTTTTCGCAGAGGTGCCGCCCATTGAATGTAGCTTACATGGAACGCGTGCTTGCCCATATGTCAGAATCCCAGGAAGGGTTTCAGCAGACCGCGTGGTGCTCTTGCAGGCCCTGCTCTTGCGGACCATGGAGTCCCTGAGCGAGCAGATCATGCACTGCGCAAGCCCTGGAGCTTTTCTTACCCGGTCCAACCGACTTCCTTCCTGACGTCCTTACTTCCTGTGGGCACAGCTCTTCACCAGCCGATACCTGCCTGGTGTTTCAAAGATCTCGTTCCGACTTCCTCTTTGTGCAGATGTCTGGATTTCCCCTGTCACATGCCTTGCTGGCTTGCTCTCTTTGCTTCTCTCTTTGCTCTTTCCTGCCCCTGGCGGCCCTAGCTGCTGTCGCATGCCGGCATCCAACATCAGAACAGCTTGACTGGACACGTCATCTCCATGCCGTGCAGAAGCAGCATGCTTGTACAAGGGCGTAGGCTCCATGTTCTGAGCATTGTACTCCGGGTGGCCTTGGCCGTTGTTGCTCCGAAAACTCGGCGCTGCAGCGCTTCCAGCGCCCTTCTTTGCTTCAGTGACCAAGGCCCAGAGAGGTTGGCCTTCTTGTTCTTCAAGATCTTGATGGCCTCACAGGAGCAGGTGCAGTGAATCGGGGGACCAGAGCTGCCGTGAACTTTCATGAACTCTAAGCCGTACCCATTCGAGGTGGGGCTCCTGGCACAGTCCAGCGACGGCCCGTGCCGAGAGGTCGTGTTTCAGATCGATCTGGAGACGCTACAGGCACAAGGGGAAGACCGGACTGCAGGGGGTTGCCACGTGCACTGCTCCAGAAGCATGCGATGGCAGCGAAGCCTGTTTGCAGACTCCTCGCAGCTCGTGGATGCCTTGCATGTCTTCAGGATGGTCTTGAGAAAATGGCGCGTCACTCGAATCCGGTTTCACGAAAGCTGCCACGTGCTCAGTCGCAGTTTTTCGAGACCCGAGGGCGGTAGCCCTACGCCTGAGAGAGCCATGCGAACTTCAGGATGCCAAGCGGCTGGAGAGAGCTGGGCATCAACTTCGACGACATCAACGAATGTTCCTCGCAAGCATTGAGATGTAAAGAGGACGCGTCTCCCAAGTCGCTCTCTTGATCCCCACAACCGAGGTGGCATCCAGTGCCGTGAAGATGTTGGAAAGACGCGCTGCCGGCTTTCTTTTGCGGTCTTTTTCGGAGTGCCCCTTCGTGGCGCCAGTAAATGGGCCATTGCCATGGCGCTCCTTTCCTGCAAGTGTCAGGTTCAAAGAGCCAAGCAGTCTGTGGGCCGAAAGCTTAGTACTTCAGGACGACGTACTCTTCAGCCCATCTTCGGACTTGCAGGTCGTGATCGACTTTCTCATTTGCTACCGGGTGCCGCTGATCCTCAAGTCTGAGCCCGAGAGATGGCGCCATCGCGTCCTGCCGGAGTGTTGCCTCGGTGCAGGCAAGGCACATCTGTAACCTGCGACTTCCATGTACCATCTAAGAAGCTACTTGCACAGAGAATGATCCAAGTGTCTTTCAGCCTATAACGAATGACTTCGCACGTCTGCTCACGATGTACAATGCCACGGCCAATTTTCCAAGAAAAGCTTCCTCACCCGACAGGACTTTTGAACACTCGAGGGACATCCGTGAACGAAGCTGAATGTCTGATGTCAAGGCTTTGGTCGCTGCTAGTCGCTGTGTACATCTACCTGGGAGCAGGCTTGGCCAATGCTCATGCCATGTTCCTTTGTTGCAGTGTGCGTCAGCAAAACTTCAAGGATTACATATGCAAGAAGGGACATAAGATGTACAAACGATGCGGTGAAGCGCATTTCAACACACTTCGCACACTGCTCTGTGTGTTATCACATGTCACCATTTATATATATTTACATAATATATGTATATATATATATATATATAAAACTAATGACTATATCAAAAGATGTTACAACAGTGTGTACCATGATTTCATGTAAGGTGAAATGAAAGTCCCAGGTAAGGTTCCACGTTATGTGTTGTCATGTAGCGTAGCAAAGGACAAGGAAAGGCAATGTAATGTAGTTGGAACCTACGAGAGTTTCAGATGCTGTGAGCCAAGATACAGCATTACAACAAAAAAGCACGAATGAAAACTCACAGGAAAGATCGTAATACTTATTAAGCACCTACCTGCAGCTGTATTCATGTGTCGGCTGTTTGGTTTTCGTGCCAGCCAGGCTTGGGGAGCGATATCACCACCTCCTTCAACGGCTCTCTGAGCGGCTGCCAAGACGTGCTGGGTCTGTTTTTGTAACGGCCATCATCGTTACCTTATGCTCTGAGACTGGGTGTGACATGCCTTGTCGGTCGAGTTTGACCCTGTGCAACAAATGACAAAAGAACTAAACTTCGTAAAACTTCGTACTTGCCGGACTTGAAACACCTCGTGATCAAAAGCCTGTACGATTTACACCCTGGCCGATATCCTGACAGTTAGGCAGGCAGCTGGCGCGCTCAAGTAGCCTGCAAACCTCAAGCTAAAGCTGTAGTGGTCTGTGATCCCGTGCTCAGCCCAGGCTGTGGCCACAGTGGGCTAGAGTCAACTTCATCCAATACACTGCCATCGCACCGAGCTCGGACTGTTGCTTGTGTCTGGTGTGGTTGAATTTGGGTGCTTGAGTGCGGCCGAAGATTGTGGAAAATTACAGGCAACAACTTCAACCACACCCTTTGTCCAGATGAGACGGAGCATCTTTCTCGGTCACTACATCCGACCGATGCCTGTGAATCTCATCTGCCTCGCCATGGCAGTCACTGAAAACTCCGATCGTGATTGGCAGCAGGCTGCTGTGCGGCTGTGAGGGTGGTTGAATATCTGATTTGTTCGGTGGAGCAGCTACAAAGCTAATCTTCCCACGCCTAGACGAGTTTGTAACGAGCGCAAGACCTGCCAGCTGTGGCTGACGCAGCCCGTGACTCCATGCCCATGTCCATATCAGCCTGGCATGCCGCAACCATCTTCTTCGTCAGAGTTCTTTTTCATCACCATCAGATTCAGCTTGGTCAGCATCGTGACCATCTTCAACATCATGGACACTTCGTCACCGCGACAAGAAAGCCCAAAACAGAGAGATGGTGGGGCTCGAAACCCCAGATCCCACCAACTTCGAGATTTTGTGGTCTTGTCGCAAGCCTACCCAGGGCCGTGAATTTCTGCAGTGTTCCATCCTCTCTCTCTCTCTCTGCTTGCCCTTCCACCTTGATTCATGCTGCTGTGGGTATTGACTTTGAGAATTGGTGTTCCAGTTTCAAGAAGTAAAAAGGCCGAAAGGCATCGTATGCTCCCGGGCAGACTTGTTCACGGGACTTCTCACGCTCAGGCAGATGCTAGCCTTGGGGCCTGCCTGGAGCTCATCACGCTGAGCTACGCATGCCGCGGCCCTGTGCTACTGCTCACAACTAAGAGCTCTGAGACCATGTTCTGGCTGTCCGGAGTGTTTGGAAGGCGATCTGCTAGAGGTTGAGGCTTTCAGGCTTTTCTTTTAGTGCCTGAAGCCAATAAGGCTGGCAGCGGTTGCCCTCACTCTGCTACTGGTCACCCGGGCGCCGCACGGCTGCATCTGCAAAGGAGAGTCGCGAGAAAAGGTTTGGAGTTTGGAGTCCAGGGGACTGTTGAAAGACAAAATTTTGGTGTAGTCGTGTTCCAACGTTACCACTTCCGTAGCGATGCCATGAATGCTGCACAATTCGCCGCTTCAGCCCAATTTGCTCTCCCTTCAACCGCGCAGCTCCGCGCATGCGCACGCATGTCAGGGTTCCTGTCACAGCTGTGGCTTCACTTTGAGGTTGCTGTCCTTCTCTGTGCATGCGATCTCCTGGCGTTCCTCGACGTGTGGATCCTAGCTGTTTCTCTGTGATCCAGTGTGTCAGTACGATGAGGTAGTAGATGCGGCTTCTTTGCATGAACAGTTGCATCGGATGACTGTCTACCAGTACGATTAGTAGATCTGGCGGATGCCGAGTTTGGTGGCTGGCCAAGCGCATGGTGAGCCTGGTGATGTTCACGGTCGGTGGTCCCGGCCTCAGCCGGTGCAGAGGCCGGGGTTGGAGGGCTGCTGGCAGCTATGTTGAGCCGAGAGTGTCGGCCCGCATTCTTGGGCATTTCCGAGGTGCTTTCCTCATCTTGGGCGCCAAGTTCAGGATCAAGCCATGGCAGTGCCTCGGCTTGGTAATTGCGTTCTTCAGCGGTGGGTGGCCACGCCACGCTTCCAAAGCCCTTAGGTACGGCTCTAGGACTCCAGGGCCGGGCAGCAGACTGTAACGCGCCGTATTGGCTTCGATGTGGCTTCTTAGCTTGAGTCTGAAGCTTTCGGATTGCCCATAGAAGAGATCTTTCTGAGGTGCCGGCAGTCGGACTCTGGAGACTGCAAAGACCCGCGTGCAGCCACCTTCGAGGCTTGGGCCTGGGCCTGGCATACAGAGAAAGGCAGCCATAAAGCACTGGGAGGATCTCAGAGACACGCTCCTGGAAGACTGGCTCTACTGGGGGATCCGCGTGATCCTTTTCTGCTTCATGCAGTTGAGGCCTGCTCAGAGATTTGGACTGGAGCATCTTGCACATGGGGGGACAGGGAAATCCCAGGTCTGATTGCGAAAAGGCTAAGGGGGGCTTGGATAAACACGGCGGTGGACTGTGAAGATGGAAGGGCTGGCAAAGAGGGGAGCAGAGCGTCTGGCCCGCAGGATCGACCCGACCTAGAGCGTCTTAAGGCTTAAGCACTGAGACCTGGACAGTCGGAGACGGCGGGGTATGGGTGCTGACAGTTGAGTTTGCAAGTGCCCTGGAGCCTTTGCAGAGGAAGTCCAGCAGGTAGGGCGAAAACTTCAGGTCTCCCATACACCTCGCACTGGCATGCACTGCGTAGCGTAATTACTCTGTCTGCAGACTCGTGTGTTTCGCGCGGGAAGTGGGGCAGCTTCTTTCTTCTTTCTTGACTTCGGCCTCATCTCACTTAATGTCGTCATCTGGCGTTTGCAACGCGTGTGTAAGCCGCCTCCGCTGATGTGCAAAGCCATCGCACATGGTCTCTCCGTCCCTCCGTCTTTGTGTCCCTGTCTCTTGCTCTCTTTCCCTGTGGTTTGCGCATCTATAAAGCTTGACTGAGAATGGATAGTTTCCATCAACATCTTGCGTTGAACAGGAGGGCTCTACACACACCTGTTTTCTGCGCCCTGCGGCTGCCAGGAAAGGGCCGATCTTCATCTACGGCACTCCCTGGAAAAATGCACGGCGAGATGGCAGGGCCGTGGTTTTAATTACCTCGTCAGTCTTCTGGGATCTAGATGAGATGCGTAAAGGAGTCCGGGGTTTTCCGGTATTCGCCTGAACACATGGAGTCGCTGAAAGCCAACATCTGTCCCTTGGAGTGAGGCTGCATGCGACCCTTTAGCTTGTGTCTTCGTACACAGGTGGCCGTGGCTGTCGAGAAAACTTCTTGAAGACAGATTTGGTGGTGCTGCTACTGTGGGATTGGGCCTCGGTAGCGTGCCACTGGCGCCTCCTGTGCATGTGCTGAGGTATCAATCAGATACAGTATGTGAGAGTTGCTCTAAAACCCCGCGTGTTGACCGTAGACTAACCGTATCTAACCGTGCACTTGGATATTTTGATGCAGGGTATGACCTCCAAAACCAGCACAGCGCAAGCGCGCAAGGGCGAGCGCAATGGTGTAAGAAGAAGGTTTATCAAGGCTTCAAGGTGGGAATGTGTTTAAAACCGTGTGCGAGCGCGCAAGGGCGAAGCGCAAGGCGCTGTTTGAGTTGCAGGCTGCAGCCGTAATAAGGAACAACTCCCATTTTTGGCAGGTATGGCATAAGCCATAAGCTCAAGAAATTGAGTTACTGTAGTTGGGGGCATAGAGAAAACAACCCGCTAGCCAGCCTTCTGCTGGCTGCTTCGGTCTCCTGCCACAAAGGCACACTCTCGGAAACAGCACACGGCGTCGGCGGGTTTTTTTTCGGAGCCCGTCAGAGCGTCATGTCCCTTCGGCTCTGGTGGGTGTGCTGACTCAGGCTCTGATGCTCACGAGCAGCATCGTCCTGGAGATCTTCATCATTCTCCCAGCCATGAAAGGCGATGGCAAAAAAGGGCAGTACTTCTAGAACCGTTTCATCTGAGCTCTCGATTTGTCTCTGGCAAGAGGCCTCGACCTGAACTCCACCTGCGGCCTTGACTTCTTGGGTCAGGTGGGTCTCAGTTCGAAAGCCTGATGCTGATGCTCTGTTGCAAGCCTGCAGCCCTTCGCAGCCGCAGGCCTGATTGCCTCTCAAGGTCTTTTCCTCTGATCTTCCTTTCTTGAGAGGCTTTTGCTTGAGGGCCAGCGGCTTTAAACTTGGGTTCTTGGAAGAATGGGCACAGTGTGCTGCATCGGCCGTGAAGGCCACGAGAAACCGCGTCAATCTCCAGCCGGGCCAGGATGCCTCCTCGGCACCAGTCCACAAAACGCAGAGACCAAACCCGACAGCTGCTTCTCGGCACCGAAGGAGGCCCTTCCGTCGCTTGCGATCAGACAAGAGGAGCTGGACAATGCCTTCCGGCGCGACGTACTTGGACACCTGCATGGAATACATGCAGCGTCTCAGTCCTCTGCCCCCTGCGCTGCGGAACGGGAGACCGCGGCTTTTGGGGAGGTTCACGGTGCTCACTTCGCGTGCCAGAAAGGCTTCAAAGATGATGAGCCAAATCAAGATAACTTTTCTGTGACACGGTTCAAGTCTGGCCACACGTTGGCATGTGTTTGCGATGGCCATGGCCGAAGTGGCCACAAGGTCTCCGAACGCATCGTGCAGACCCTACCTTTTCTCCTGCTGCAGCAGCTGGGCTTTGATGGCACCCTTACTGATGCTGACATCGAGCAGGGTCTCGTGACGGTCTTCAACCAGGCACACAAAGATGTCGTGGCACATGCAGCCGAGGCCAAATACGATGCGAACCATAGTGGAGCCACTGCGGTAGTGGCATTGTTCAAGGACAACGAAATATGGACGGCCCATGTTGGTGATTCGAAAGTCGTGATTGGGTCCGAGGAGGACGAGAGCCTGGTGTATGCATCTCAGGATCACACGCCTGACAGCCAACCAGAGACCGAACGCATCGAGGCTTGTGGTGGAGAAGTCCGGACTCCCCAACACGCAGATGGGGCCCTCGATTCGCCACGAGTCTATGTGGGTGGCACCAAATTCCCGGGCCTTGCAATGGCCCGATGTCTGGGTGATGATGCAATGAAAAAGTATGGAATTATCGCTGAACCGGAGGTGAGCAAGACTACAGTTGACCCGTGCCAGAAACCTTTTGTGTTTATAGCCACAGATGGTGTCTGGCAATTCATGGATGCAGACTATGTTACTCACGGCATTGCCAGGATGCTGAAGCAGGTGTCAGCAGATTCTGTACTCAAGAGAGTTCAGGAGTTGAGCCACGACAAGTGGGGCGATAACACGGACTACAGCTACTGTGATGACATCACATCGCTCTTGATTTTCCCAACGAGTTGATAATGCCTTGAGGCAGCTTCCGGTCTCATTCACTGACAAAGCTCAAGCGTAACATGCAATTCTTAGAGTCGTAGATGGCTAGCGAGCTGAGCCAACGTGTGTAAGCTGGCCGTTTCAGAGTTGTGAGAGATCCGGACAGCTGCGCTTGTATCGGTGCTTCTGTCATGGGTTTGTCATTGGACCGGCTGCATTTAAAAAACGCAATTGGAACCCTCAGCGGCATTGCGCTGGTACAGCCGGACCCGTTTGCAGCATGTGAAGCACTACGCGGACATGCTAAACCTGGTCACTACCTGCAGTTTGGCCGTCCTTTAAGCGATACCCGTCGAACTCCCCAAACGGGGACAAGCACGCTGAAAACTTGAGAGGGAGACATGCATTTGGGTTCAGTGGGTCGACCGTTGAAGTTGCGACCGTTTCAAGCAAGTTCCGTCTCGAAGGTCATCGGTATCCCGGCACAGGTGGGTGAATGTTCAGAGAAGGACTAGCCGTGCTTGTGGCTTGCACAGGGCGCCAGATTGAGTGACTGTTCTGATGGCGAGGAGAACCTGCTCGACTTTGGATGTGCGACCTGTGTTTGCAGCGTGCTGCTTCCCGAGAATGGTTTCTTTCTGATTTCCGAGATATCAGAGCTTCAGAGGGAAAGACAGATATGAGAATGCAGCTACTCGCTTCACTCGCGTTTCCAGGCTCTTCGCACTCACCTTGGTCCTGGTTGGGTGCATAGCCAGCACCTCGAGTATCACAGATTTTGCACGGGCACGGGGAGGCAGCTGGACGGGAGCACTTATGCAGTGGGGAACAAGGTGCTTGCAAGAAGCAGGGGAGGCAGACCACAGCAAACCTCAAGACTGGCTTAGGTTGACATCTACTTCATTTTCTACATCTTCTCGGCAATCGGCGGGCTGTGCATGGGTGTCGCCCCAAGCTGGACCGGAAGCTCTCGCATATGTCGAAGCCAAGAGAGCAGAATTGTCATTGCCCCCGCTGAATTTTCCCGCGAGCTGGCAGGTCAGTATCGACAGCTGAATAGTGTCAAGAGAGTCGACGTGCCGATCAACCTCAGACCAGGGGCATGGTTCTCGGATGGGCTTGGACAGTTGTTCCTGTGCAAGCAGCTCCACGAATTCAGCATGCCTCTCTGTCCCATGTCAATCGTATAGCGTTGGTGTGACCGCTCTGGCGGAGTGTGCACAGGGAAAAGACGCCGGACGCTTCCAAGCGAAGATTGGGCCCGGCTGGCGCATGGTTTGGGGACGGATGGCCTCGGCCTTACGAAATCTGATAAAAGACGAGTTGGTACCGGCACGGAAAGAGGGGTGCGCATGTGAGCGCCCCTGGAGGTGCACAGCTTGTTGAGTGAGCACGGGACTCAGCCTCGTGCCTCCGTGCATCCTTCCAGCTCCTTAGAGGAAAGATGAGTTTCTGAGCTCCGTCAGAGTTTGCCATTGCCAAGCGCAGTTTGGCCGCCAGGGAAGGCTTGTGAACCGGGGAGTGCTAAGGTCTCTCATCGACCAGCGCATGGCAGAATGGCTGCGGAAGGCTGCGGAACCGCCCGGAGGGGAGGTCGACCCAGGCAGGGCCGGGGCCGGGGTGCCGGGGTGGCCCGAGCTCCGAGCTGGTGCTCCTTCAGGCAGACTTCGGCATCACGAAAAGAAGGACCTGCACGCAGACTCAGCGGTGTTGTGAGATATGCCAGAGCTTTGTAAGAATGTGGTTTGAAGTGATATCGAATAGGGCAGGTGTTCTTCAGTGTTCAATGTCAGTCGTATGTCTTTAACGGCCTGACAAGGCAGTGCCTTGCGATCGATGCTGAGGCCAGACGACAAGCACAAGGACAAACTGTCCGCAGCCTACGCACACAAGTCGCCCAAAGCATGTCGGATTGCACATCTTGTTGCATGTGTGCGTCGTCATGCGGATTAAGACTGGCAAATACCCAGCAGACCTGGCCGCACGGCATTCTCGACATGTTTCTGTTTCATGCAAGTTCGGCCATCGCTCCTGCACGCTAAGGATCCACTTGTCACGCTTCCCCCAGATCGTGGCAGAGCGGCTCGCCTTCTTCTTCCAGTCTCTCGAGAGGATCCAGGCCCATGCTGGAATCACCAGCTTGGAAGTGTAGCCACTGTGTGCTGCCGTAACTGTGCTGAAGTCTGATGTTCTAGTAGACATGTGGGTATCAATCAGCATTGGCAGTGTTGCGAGGAGCCGGGCGATGGCACACAGGTTGAAGAAACCGACAAGCCGCCAGGCTGCAACACAAGCTATTTTGCAGAAGTTTGGTGTCGTTGAGGCTCTCAAAGAGGCTCTTTGTTTTTTTGGGCCAAGGCTTACATCTCCGGATTTCGAGCCGGGCACGGTTCCATCGCTGACGCAGATCATCCCTTGCTACCAAGAGGCCCGGCCAGAGGGCGAGGGCGAGGGGTGCTTGAAGAGAAGTGCAGTGCATGCGCCTCGGCATTTAATTGCTTTTTGGCGTGCAGATGGTGATCCCAACCTCCGACTTCTTGCGAAAGGGTTCATCCCCGGAGGCACATCTGGGTGCTCGAATGTGATTCTGAGCAAAAAACGCCTTGCTTGCGATGTCTTCTTGAGTCGTAGTGGTTCGCATCAGTGCACATGGCCGCCCGCCTCACTATGGACTCTCTCATCATCGCGATAGCAACGGATCCAGCAGGATGCCAAGAACCAGAGCCCGAACGACGAGCCTGCGCCTTTGCACGAGTGCTGCTGAACTGCTAGATGGACCGCACAGTCTTCGGGACGTGGGGCCAAGCAGTCTAGGTTTCGGAACATCTAAACAAGTGAAGGGGATGACCATGTCCAGAGTGAGCCCGCTGACACAACGTGCCAGATTTCACACACCCCGCCTCCCAGAAACAGGCACGGCATCGGCGATTTGACTGCACCGCCGCTGGGCGATGGGGTGGCGGCCTTGGTGTTTCCATGAAGCCGCCCTCTTTGCGTTGAGAGAACCTTTGGCATCGAAGCGGACGGGGTAGTTTGCAGTGCATCGGAGGGACTTTGGTTGTCTGACAGCCTTGGTCTCGCGTCCCACAGGTCAACACCAACCTGGCCTTTATCATCTCCCAATTTCCAGATGAATGGCTCTTCTTCGCAAAAAGGTGAGCAGGGCTAGGGCTGGTCTTCTTGCAGCCAGAGCTGACAGTGCCGGCTCGAGCGGCGTGTGGCGAACGTGATCGTTAGCCCATGACGAAAATTTTAGGTGTATGTGTGATCTTGCAATTTCAGGCATTTTTCAGTTGTTCTGAGATCTGAGTTGCCGAGATTTCGTTGTTCTGTTGCGGAGAGAATTCCATGCGCATGTGTATCTGCTGTTTGTTGGTGTGTATTGGCTGGTGAACAACCTCATGCAGGCTGCCAGGCAACCTCGCTTGCTGCTTTTTGTAGTGTTGAAATGACTCGTGATGGCAGGGTCTACAAGGACGAGCGGGGCAGTGCAGTGGTCTCAGTCGTGAGCCTTGCGGTGCAAACAGGCATGCTTTTGCAGTGCCAGCAGTTCGCACACAGCCTTCATGCTTGAACTGCTAAGTTCCTCGAGCTATACAAGCTCTTTATAGAGGACACGGCTTTGCCCACGGTGCTGTTGCAGTTTCGTTGCCAGCGCCTGCTCTGTGTGGCATTTGTGAGTGGCAAGACTCGTGTAAGCTGATCATCATTTCACGATATGTCACGGCTGCAGGCAGCACAGTCACCAGAGCATCCCCTTCAAACGAAGCTGCAAGAAGACCTGAAGTTCCCAAAAGCGAACTCCGAAGTAGAAAACAAAAGCTTCGAGTTCTGGCAAAACCCACCCTAAACCCTAAACCCCAACCCCTAACCCCCCTAAACCCCAGACCCCCACTCGAAGGACAAGCTACCAACCTTGGCGCCCCCGGGGCAGCTGGGCCTCGATTTGGAGCTCGAGGCGCCCAGGGCCGCTGAGAGACAGCCGGAAACAGCAAATGTATTACATACTATCTATCTATATCTTATAAGATATACAATAAACATACACATAGAGAGTATATAGTATATAGTATATAGTTCATAATATACAGCTATATAGTATATAATAGATGATCTATAACACTCCCCCCCAGATCCGTCTCTGGGCCGCGATGCGCACCCACTCCGTGGCGAAGACGGTGATCGGTGCGCTGCAGTACCAGCTGCGAGCTCATTCGGCCTGGACATGCAATAATCCGGCCAGGGTTTAGGGTTTAGGGT